AGGTCTCTCAGCCGAGGCAGCGCCGAGTCGGGCACTGACAGTGGCCGTGGCTGCGGGTGGCCCTCTCCCTGTGACACTGGGCGTTTGAATAGTGGTATGACGGCCACGATGGCCTCGTGGTCAGCTCCCGGGTGTAGCTGTGGGCTGACCTGCGCGTGCGCAAAAGGGATATTAGAGAAAGCCAGGTCCAGGACATGTCCGCAATCCTGGGTTGCCACCCCAACTTCGCTGATAAGAGAGAGATTGTGGCCGTCTGCCCAGCCTGCAATGTCATCTCCCCGGTTCCCGTTCCTCGTCCCGGGCTCCCAAGAGTAGTGATGCGCGTTGAAGTCACCCGCGATCAAAGCTCGCTCCGGGGGTTTGAGTTCTAGCAGTATCCCTGTTGTGCGGCTGTGGGGGTCGCGGGGTTGTCTGTACACGTTGACGATAGTCGTCGTTTTGTCGACCACCAGCCACAGTACGTCTCTCGTGTGGACAGGCCTCTGCTGCTCCACCGTCATCCCTATCCCTTTGCGTGTGTAGGTCAATACTCTTGGTCTGGTTCCTTCGCTGTCCCAGAAGTCGACCGGGACGAAAGAGTCGAAACCCGGGTGCGTGTTCAGTTGCACGTTTCCGTCCTTCCAGCCCGTCCAGGGTTCCTGGACGAGGACCACATCTATCTGAGCCTCCCAGCAGAGCTGCAGGAAAGCCGTGTGCGCCGGGGAGATCTTTCCGACGTTGCCCTGCGCAACGCGTAGCATCCGTGGGGTCGCCGCTCTCGGCTTACGTCTCCGAGTCGAGTTCGAGGTGGGTGTAGGCATTCGCGACGTTGTAGTTTGGCTTCTGTGCTGCCCGTTGGCTCCTGCTTGGCATGGGTAGCACGGGACGGTCGATGGAGGTGTTGTCGGGGGAGTCTTCGCCTTCGCCTTCGTCCGCCTCGTCTTCATCCATGCTGCTGCTGTCAGTGCTTCCGTCACCGAGGCAAACGATCGAGCTTGCGGAGGGCGTTCTCGTGCGCGCGCGCTTGGCGCCGGGTTGCTGGTTCTGGCTGGTGGAGGTAGGGACGCCTGCCGCCTCCTGGCTACTGTCGGATCGAGTAGCCTTGTACAGAGTGTCCGATGCTTTCTGGCCGGCCTTCCGGATCCGAGCCCGCTCCTTTCGACCGGGAAGGGAGACGACGCCGTTTACGACCGAGGGCCTCGCTGGGCAGTCTGTGTGGCCGGCTTGGAAGGGGCCGCAGCAGTTGGGACACTGGGGCCTGGCCATGCAAGGTCCCGTTTCGTGTGAGTCGGAAGGTCTTCCGCAGTTGCTGCAAGTCGGTCGTCGTCCGCAGAACCGGTTGGCGTGGTAGCCCTGGCAGCCGGGGTCATGTCGGATGAGCGTCCTTCGTTTTTTGATGGGCAGAGATCTGCCGCTTTGGTTGAAGAGCCTGAAGGGCGTGACCTCTGATGTGAATGATATGAGCCAAGATATTTCGTTCGTGACTGGGTTGGGCCCAAGGCGGGACGGTCGAGCAAGGACAGGCTTCTGTCCTGTCTGTGCGAAGACCTCATCTTCAACGAGTGTGGCTGGGTCCAGGACGTCCCCGCCAATGCTGTGTAGTTTTGTTGGGCATCGCGGCACAACGTATGTGTGCCACTTGATAGGCGTCTCGACTTGGTGGGCGCCGAGGCATTCCGCCAGCTTTGCCTTACTTGTAAGTAGTCTTTCCTGTATTTGCTTGTTTCGCGGCTTCAGAGAGTAACCTGTGCTGATATGGTAGACGTGGGGAAGGTCCGCTAGCCCCAGGCCAACGGCCTTACAGACGATCTGTCGTACGGCGAACGGTGCGATCTTCCGAGCGGCCGCTAAGCTTTCTTCCGGGACGCGGGCAAAGATGCGGAGGTCCTCCTTCGGCTGCGCCTGCGGCTGATCCTCGGCGGGGAGTGTGGCCTTCGGGCGGGCAGAGCTCTGGCAGCTCTGGCCGCTCCGGGTCGCCGCAGTGGTGTTGCCCGCCATCGGTGCGACGACAGCCGCCCAACTCCGGGCCGCTATTGGGCTTGTCTCGTGATTGATCAGTCTCTTGAGGGTTTGAATGACATAGGCAGTGGCTTCTTTCGCGATCTGCTTTCTAGAACCGTCAAAGCTGGCGACAACGCTGTCGACGGACCGTGCAATGGTCAGAAAGACGTCTTTCCGTGCCTCGTACTGTCTAGCTTCTTCTGCAAGGGCTGTCAAGACGGACCCTGTGGCAGATCCGCTCGGAGCAGATGCGGTAGAGGCTGCGGGCCCCTCGGCCGAGGTAGGGGCGTCGGTGGTGGCATCAAGCTGGCTTCCCGTTAGGCTGGGCCGGGTCGGCTGTGCCTCGGCGTCGCGGCGTCGCTTAGCTCTTGAGGTGGGGTTCGGCTCCGGAGGTGTCCCGGAGCCTGGTTCGGGGTCGGCTTGGTCGGCCGACATCAGTCCGGTGCCCGACGGCGGCTGTGAGGCCATCGCGGATGCGGGCTCCGGCAAGGGGAGGTGAAGAGTTTTCGGCTGTTAGTAATTTGGTGGTAGGCTCACTCATTCACTAACAGCAGATGCCAAGAAAAATTAGGCGAGAGGGAAGTTGCTCTGCGCGGCTGGAGGACACTTGATTCCTAATCGTAATGAAAGCTATCCGGGACTATGAGCTTCCTACTAAGCAATGTAACCTCCCCTTCCATCAGGGATGTGATGTCACGTCTATGACTGGCAGCTGTTTACCTTATCACTGGCTTCGTCTACCAATTGCCTCCCTCCCTGGTACCATTTCTCTTATGTTGGCAGTCCCGCATCTCTCCCCTACCATCTCACCCCACCATACTAACACCACCTTCGCATGGCGCTCTTTCTTTCTGATCGGAAAACCCCTGCGATTACCGGCCCTGGCCTACTATCCTTCGCGTTTCGCAGCATGTTCAAGACGCCCGTCTTCGTCAGACTCACACCATCCTTCAGCATCTCCATGACGAGTCGCACAATCACGCTCGGCGACTCTTGCAGAAACCGTGATGCGGCAGCGTCGCCGCCCCGGGATGCTGCCCAGAAACAGTGCGAATACAGCACATGGAATATCTTCAACAGCTTAGGCTCTCGCGTCAACAGGCTGATCACACTCCAGTGGTCTTGTGCGTCCGCAAGCCGCGCCAGCTTGCTGATGATGTCGCACAACACGGCATCGTCCATCTTGGCACCACGTCGCAGCAAGATCGACGCCATCACGGGATTGCCGTGGCATGTGGAAAGTGTCCAGTCGAGACTCGTCGCGCCATGCGAATCGCGCCTGTCAATGTTTACAAGACCCGAAGAAAGCAGCATCTCGGCCTCCCAGCGGCGCCGCTCTCGAGCCAGCTTCAGCAACAGAGGCCCTGTCCAGTTGCAGCGCGCCGATATGCAAACCACTTCGTTTGGGTCAGCGCCTGATTTGAGGAGGAGTTCGATCAGCCGTTGCTTCGCCGATGCCGTCCTGCCATCCGTTTCTTTGACCCGGGCCAGGAGCGCTAGCTCGAGCGGCTTCTGGTCGAAGATACGAAGCGCCGGGTCGGCCCCCTCGACCAATCCGTCCAGCTTGCCCGTGGCGTCCGCTCCAGCCTTCAACAGTGCCAGGGCGGCGGAGAACATGCCGTCCTCGCACGCCATGCTGAGGGCCGTCATACGCCATGTGTCGATCGTCGTTGGCTGGTTCACGTCGACGCCGAACTGCGCCAGCTGACCTATGACCGTCTCTGGCGACGGAGACAACAGGGAGTGAATCAGCGGCGTGTCCCCGTTGTTGTCGGCCTCGTTCACTTCCATTCCTTTCTCGTCGACAAGGTACGTGACTACTTCGGTGAGCCCGGCGGCGGCGGCTTGATGGAGGGCGTTGATGCCAAACTCGGAAGACTCAAGCCGTGCGCCACGCCGAAGGAGAATCATGGATGTCCTGGCGTCTCCGCTGAGAAGAGATAGGAAGGCGGGAGTGCGTAGCCGGCAGTCCGGGACCCCATCGATATCGGTGCCGTGATCAAGGAGAAACGATACAATGTCAGAATAGCCTTTCGAAGCGGCCAGGTACAGGGCCGTAACGAGGAAAGGGCTGCATCGATGGGTCTCGGTCATATACATGGTGGCCGGTTTGTTGTAGTCAGCGCCGGCTTGGAAGGTATGCTGGAGCGTGGCGAGAGCCACCCGCGTATCTGTACAGTTGGCAATGGTGTTGAAAACGGCAGAGTACTTTCCCGTTTTCACATCATTTCGGTAAAACTTTGGGTTGAAGAACGAATGCCAAGTGCGCGAGCATCGCGTGAACTTGGACTGGACATGGGCTTCGCTGTGATTGAAGATGTGCCACGCCACGTCTAGGGAGATCGGCTCTGCAGAGACAGGTTTCATACCGAGTGATGTCAGTAGTTTTGAGCGAGACACCGTGGCCTGTGATGGAAAGCGCGGCATCGCAAAACCATGAGGCAATCATCCAGTTAGACTCATCGGCTTCATATCCAATGCAAGAATTGACATTTTGTCCCAAGGGACAGCTGTCTACGCCGGAACTGTCCCATTCGTACACTACAGACCCGTGGTGGACACTCTGGTCCAAGAAAATTCTTGACTTCTGCTACCTAGGTGCTATGGTGCTTTTTTTGGCTGTGAAGGTATGTGTGTCGCTCATCTTTCGGGAGGACCGTACTTCCACAAGCGGCTCTGGCTTATCTAGGCGCAAGCCGAGGATGACTTTACTATATCAGAATATCAAGCTGTTCGGAGGAGCTCTTGTGGCTACCGCAAGGGATGGCTTGGATATCAGATGTCCAGGTGGTTTTTGCGTTTGCTTTGGACGCTGAACCTGTTCTGGTCTATCGTAAGTAGTCATAAAGTCCTCCTAAGGTCGATGGAAGCTGTAAGCATCGCCCGTAACCGCGTCTATCTTCAGTATGCGAGACTTGCTACCGGAAGACGCAACTGGCTTTCCAAAAATGAGAATCTATAGCGATTGAAACATATGTGCTTGCGCACACTGTCACATCACCTACCGGCGAACTCCACGTCAGGCTTCTCCCAACAGCCGGCGTTGACGCCCGGGAGCCGGAGGTGGACATTCTCAACAACGTGATCAGAGGCCTTCTCGTATGTATCGAAATGCATGTTCTTCGTGAGGTCTATTTCTAGCTCGGTTGAAAGCCGTTGCCATTTTGGTGTTGCAGGTCGTTTTTGGTGACTGGGATAAGACCCCCTGTCACGACAAGGATCTCACTTGCTGGCGAGGCACCCTCTTCAACATCCGTTTTAGTCCCCATGGAGCGCCGATTCTGGCCAGACTTTCTGGTCACACGCCATCTACCTGCCTGGACGCTCTGTCTATGGACTAGAATGAAGCTGACCCTTATGGACCGCCACTCAAACAACGTCCATATCCAGTTTCAGCCCTTCAGCAGCCGGGGTATCAATTTCGGAGTGCGGCCGAATTGGTTCTAAGCTATGCAACAAGGGTGTTCTTTCCTGAAACAGTATTGTACTCTGTCTGCAAGACCCAGATCTCGGAGCCACCAAACGAGCCGTATGACCGCATCCAGTGGCCCCAATCTCCGGCTTTGCTTGCTGGCTCAAGACCCGCCGCGCCCGAGAAATAGACACGCTCGAAAGAGATCCTTTCGAGTGATGAGGCGTTGCGTTGCAACAGATTTACTCGCTTAGCGCTTGTGAAATGAATGTAGTACGTGCACACTCGTGACGCGTTGGTCAGATATGCCGTGCTTAACATTCAGTGCAACGAAATCATCCACAATCATCATGCGTCCAAAGCTACATTCAGTGTTCTCACCTTTGAGAAACACCTCGTCAAGCGACACCCCTTCGAGAGGGTGCCTTCCACAGGTTCATGTGTCCACCTTTCTAAGCTGCGACTCCGACGAGGAGAGTGACAATGTCAAACAGGAACGGGGCCTTCTACAAGACGATCCGCGTCAGGAAACGAGCTCTGCGACCGGAGCAACGTCCCCGGATATCGTGGCTAAAATCAAGACCGCCTGCTCTGCAGCGGCTCGGCATGAACCAAGCGAGAGGAGCGAGGCAATGTCTTCGTATAGAGTGGCACACGTCTACGGGAAAGCTTCCGGAGAACGGTCGCTTCATCTCAGGACAGCCAGGCGCGATGGTGCGATTATCACTAATTCTTTCGGCTGGGTTTCGAATGGTCCTGGCGCAACGTCTTCTGAGTGCGGAATTCCCAGACCAGACTCGCCCACCATATGAGGGTGTTGCAGCCGTTGTGGATGTTTCACCAAATATCGTTATAACAGACGCACATGGAGGTGTCTCATGAAGAGTGAGACAGAAGCAAGTGACTTCTGCTAGGAGACGTACACTGTTTCGTGAGGAGCCAGGCTTATGTTCAACATAGCACACGCTCACCGGATGAGAACTCTATGTGCCCTCCGCTCATCCGTGCTGGTTTTGGGCTGTCGCCACGCACTGCATTGTCGGGTTGTATTCTTAAACCATACCGTATGCTGTACATACAGCATTGATCATAAGTCACTTCCTCTCTCGCAAACATTCTCAATGTTTGAGAAGCCGAAAGTTGCTGTGATGGGCCTCCGCAAACCTCTGGTAATGGCTGTAGCGGTTGGTTTGCAAACCAAAATGTGGGGTCAGGATGGCAAACGACAGTGCCAGGGGCAGCGCGTGATCAAGAGCTACTCCAAAGTATCCATAACCGGCTTCAACAGCAGTCATTCTCGCACATCTGATAGTGGTCGCATGTATACAGTAAGAACGACTATAGGCCCAGCCTGTGTGGGTCAAGTCCAAAAAGATGAAGTGTGTTGCCAAGAGGAAGCAACATATGATCAATACTATAGTATGGCCCTTGGACAAGATCGTTCTTTCCAAGACGACCGGTGTGAACAGCATGAGTGGACAGATATGAATCTAGTTTGCAATGTCAGCAGCTGTATGCAGTTGTGAGCATGCAATTATTGCTCCCTCTTCTGCACACACGCTCGATGTTTCTAAAGCCAAGAGCCGTATGCCTACCCGTTCAACAGCAAAGCGCAGGTCCCTGTCTGGTACATGCCTCTCGTCCTGAGCCAATGGTTTTGGCTTCGAGGTCAACCTCTCGAATAGCTGTCGGCACTCGACAGTCAGGCTTGCCCGCGTCCAAATTTCCCGTAAGCAGATGGACTAGAGGCCAATTTGGCTGCGCTCGCGAGAGAGCTGTGACAACAGCCCAGGAAACCAACGACCGCAGAATGGGCTCAAACGCGACTCCACTGCCGCTTGTGCCTCGTACGTTCGTGCGGGATGCTTGTTTGAAAAGGGATGCATTGGGCAGAGCAAGACGACAAGATGGTGTTGACTCAAACTTACTTGACACTATATGTTCGGTACTGTACTGCAAACTTCAATCCTATTGCCGCAGCACGATAGGGTTGTTGGTTCACTCGTGTGCACAGGACTTGGCCGGCGCCTATCGCAGTCCGTATTATCCAACAAATCATCATGGCCTCTCGTCAGCAGCCACCAAAGAAAAGGGATAGAACCAACGAGAACTGCGACAAAGCGGTCAAAAACATCATGTGGCGTTGTGAGCAGATACGACGGCGATATGGAGCCGACGTGTACGTCCAAGTCCGCTTCAAAAGCAGGCACTATGAGTACACGTCTTCCGATAAGCCCGATTTCCCCAGGTCCAGAGCTGAGTTGGTATGTTCAATCAACCTATGATCCTCCAAGGCTACCCCCTGGGCTAAGATTTGGAAGAAAGCGACTTACCCTGTCCCGGTAGCAAGATCGCCGCTAGACTACACGGAAAGAAGATCTCGAAGCGACGTTGAAGGTCAATCTAGCGTAAGCAGCGGTTGAGTGCGACAATGTAGCTGTCCGGCGGAGGAATGTACTTACAATAAAGCCCATATTGCTACATACAGCTATGGAGTACTCCATCGCCCTACCCGATGCGTACTTTTGGTGTTCCGCTCTCCTTATGTCACCTGACGCCGATCAGACCGTTTGCCGTTCTCTTCAACCACTTACATAGTCGGAAACCGTTCGCGCCTTCGATCATCAAAGTTGTCTTTAGTTGTACATCGAATGACGTGTTTTGATGGTCTCGTACCGCTTTAACGTTGATTCCGAGGCATAGATGTTGACCCGGTCCGCTCACTGGCAAGCTCTATGCATGAGGAATCCTCACCAAAGCCGCTGGCAAGATGGGCCACCCTCCCCTCTGTCGTCAGTCGAGACATACTGGCCGTTGACTAGCATGATTGTCTCAGTGGAGTCTCTATGATAGTGATCTCGGCGTCCTCAAAGACCATGTAGCCCAATCCGAAGAAATATCTCTATTCATTCAATATCTGGATTATTAGACAAATCGTCCCACGTACAGCTGTCAGCGAAAAGGGCTTCATCTCTTTCACAACTCTCAGATCTCTATCCGCACGTATATCCGTCTTCTTGGCACCAACACAGTTTGATCTCGCGATGTGTCACGTAACGGGGATAGGAACCGCAGTCCACAAACTCCTTGTCACGTGCTATATCACATGTATATCACATACGTTCTGTATATAGACCTCTTCCTTTTGTCTATTTCTACTTTGATAGGTCAAGCCACTTTACCACACTCAGTATGCCCATTGCTGCGTACCATAACTCGTGACACAATACTATGCCGACCCACCATGTAGGCCCTGCTGAAAGCTTTCGCCCCACCTGATCCAGGTGTTTGTAAAACGATACGCCCAGCATTATTCGCTGCTGGATGTTTGCGACTGCTGTTAAAAGTGCTTGAAACCTGCTTATTTTCAGGTGGTGCTTTTGGTTTCTTTTTTCCTGTTCAATCTTGCATATAGGTGCAAGCATCTGTCGTTTCGGATGATGTTATCTACTTGCCAGCCTTTCCCAATCTAGAGTGAGATTGAGATGCAAGGTCGAAGTAAATAACAATTAGAAAATACAACAGGGCTGGTCGGCCTTTCACAGTAGAGACCCGAAAGATTCACTCCGCAAAGTGACAGACTACTGAATGTCATGTGACCCGGCAGGATGGGGTACCTAACTTCCACCTGACTTGCAGAAGCTTACGCCAGTCCTGGTTCTCTAGATGGATGACTGAATTCTCTCTCAGAGTCCGTCCCCCAGTCGAATTGGCATCTTGCCGCAGGGGTCCGCGCATGACAGAAGCTTACATAGTCAGTCCAATTGATGGGGTGGTGGATTGTACTGTGCGAACACTAAGAATTTTGATGTCCGTGTGGAAAGACATCAGAGAATTGTGAACGGGGTGAAGCCCAGATCGAATGAGGAGAAAATGGCGAATAACGGAGAACGATCATCCTTCAATCAAGTAAATCTTCTTAGTACTGTAACACTGTACATATTGACATCGTCTACCTGACAAAGATGCTGCCCTTCTAGGCAGCTCTTCGCTTCATCCTCAATCGTTCGTGGACGCGAACGTAACGGCGAGCATGCGCAGATAGTCGATTATCATGTGTGATCGAAATAGCAGCGTCAGGTCGCCACAACGCCTGAGGAGAAAGCAGCACTCTTCAAGGAGACCTTCTTCCCCCCGCCGCCAGAGGCAAACCTCGAAGACATCGACAACACATCGTACAGCAACCAGATTGGCCTGTCGCCAGTATCGGAAAGCGAAGTAGAAGACGCCATCCAGGAAGCAGCACCGCTGAAGGCCCCGGGCCCCGACGGCATCACTAACCTGGCACTCCAAGTGGCGAGACCATGGGTCACGCCACATCTCGCCCGCATATTCAACCAGAGTCTCCGGTTAGGATATTGTCCCCAACACTTCAGAAAGTCCACCACGGTGGTACTCAGGAAGCCAGGCAAAGACAACTACACAGTGCCCAAAGCATACAGGCCGATAGCCCTTCTGAACACGGTAGGCAAGATCATGGATGCCATCATAGCGAGAAGACTGAGCTACCTTGCCGAAACACATGGATTGCTGCCAGACAGCCACATGGGCGGGAGAAGATGTCGGTCGACGGAACACGCACTGCATCAAATCGTAGATAAGATATACGAAGCCTGGGGTTCAGGGAAGGGGATGGTAGCAAGCCTACTTCTCCTGGACGTGTCAGGCGCCTTCGATAACGTTTCGCACCGCCGACTCCTGCACAACCTGCGGAAAAGGCGGATCGACGAAGCGACGGTGCGGTGGATTGCCAGTTTCCTAGGATGCCGAGTGACGGAGATTCACGTGGACGGGTTCCGGTCCGAAACCTACAGACTCGACACTGGCATCCCACAAGGATCGCCCCTTTCGCCGATACTCTACCTATTCTACAACGCGGATCTCCTGGACAGCTGCAACGAGACCGGAGATACGACAGCCACCGGTTTCATCAACGACGTAGCAATCCTAGCCGTAGGACACAGCACTGAGGAAACTTGCCAGAAGCTCCAAGAAGCGCTTCGGAAAGCCGAGACATGGGCCTCCACTCACGCGTCCGTCTTCGCGCCCGAAAAGTTCCAGCTTACCCACTTCACAAGAGCGAAAACTAGAATCGACAGAGACACAACACTCCACAGCCAGTGGGGAGAAATTAAGCCCAAGGCAACCTGTAAATACCTCGGTCTCACCATGGACTCAGCCCTCAAGTGGAAACAACACATCGACGAGACAGAACGTAAGGTCACGAACACCATCACAGCACTCAGCAGTCTAGGCAGCTCCACATGGGGCGTGATGACGAAAGAGATGAGGACGATTTACACGGGAGTCGCAATACCACAGATGATGTACGCATGCTCGCTGTGGTCCAACAGCGGTTGGGGAGAGATGGGATACACGAAGAGAACATTACATAGACTGCAGAGGCTCCAAGCCAGAGCAGCCAGGGCAATGTGCGGAGCATACAGAGCAACCTCATTTCCAGCACTAGATGTGGAGATGCACCTCCTGCCAGTCGAACAACAGATATGGAAACACAACATCGACACCATCAGCAGTCTTCATACACACCGACAATCAGGCCGCCATCAGATCGTCAACCAAACCAAAGGGGAAGTCCGGCGCGTACCTTCTCAAGACCATCGCAGAAAAGACACAAGCCCTCCGAGAGCAGGGACTCAAAGTCGAGCTCCGGTGGGTACCTGCCCACATCGGCATCCAGGGCAACGAAGCAGCAGACATCGCAGCCAAGGAGGCGACGGGATGGAGGCCAGACGGACAGACAGGCACCAGGGCAGACAACCCGAGAGCCCTGTTCAAGCTCAGGTCGACAATCAAGACATGGTCACACAAACAGTCCCACCATGCGTGGCAAACCAATTGGGAAACCGAGACGCGAGGAAGGACGACGTTCCGTCTCACGCCGAAGCCGACAAAGAAGGTCCTCGAACTTCACGAAGGCCTTAGTAAACGCCAAAGCGCACTCTTGGTCCAGATGCGTACGGAAAAGATCGGGCTCCAGGATTTCCTCTTCAACCGAAGAGTACCGGGCATCACCAACGCCAACTGCCCATGCCGGGAAGGACGACAAACGGCATCGCACATCCTGCTGCGATGCCGCAGGTTTCGACAACTCCGGCGCCAGGAAATCGGAACCCTCTCACGACTACACAATCTCCGGGTCATACTGAACAAGCGCAAAGCCGCCGCCAAGGCAATCCGATTCATAGAACAGACCGAGATCCTTGGGCAACACGGGATCGAGTCGCACACCAGACTAAGCTGAACATTGGGGGGAGACTGTAGGTACGCTGAACCGTTGTACGAGGAGAAAGACCTCAATAGAGCCTAGACATGCATGTACATTAGTAGAGAACCGCGAACTACATGAGGTGGCAGATAGAGGTTGGAGGGCAAAGTGGGAAATTTGGAGACAGCTGGTCAGTGTTTTGCATTGGCGAAGTGGGGCGCTGCGGATTAACATCCGGAGCGCGTCGGCTGTTGGCCAAACCCCGCTATCCGGGCATAGCTGCTGACTAAAGCGGCCAAAACCGAGTAGGAACTAATCAATCAATCAATCAATCAATCCCTTGTATCTCGATGAAGCAGTAGGTGCGACGAACAATGGCATAATAACTTTCACACTAAGGCAACCCCTTGCCGTGATCGTAGAGGGTTGGGTAGGATGCGATCTGCGGATCGAATGGATCAATCTCAGGCACGCGGGAAGGTGACAAAGGACCGCTTTCAGGTTGGTGTGATGAGGGACAGGATATCCGTCTAGCCGGCGGCAGACCATCATGCTGGATTGACGATTGCGTCCGAGGGATGCCATAATGAATTACATTACACAGTATGTAAGAACCGGTGACGATGGGTAGATACGAGATAGAACCCGGCTCACACCCAGCTAGGTGAATGCCCTCCCCCTTCCCTCAAAAAATGACATGCAATAATTATGGGACAGTACTGCATTAAATCAACATCGTGGGTCTCACCTTCTGGCCCAGTGACGAACAAGAGAGCAAGCAGACAGATGGTGGGGCGGCAGAAAATACGGCAGAAAACCAAATGGGCTCTAAGTGGCAGAAAATCTGTTGGTTAAATCAAGGGGCGGCAGAAAACTTCGATAAAATTCTGGATTGGACGAAAGAAAGAAAGAAAGAAAGAAGCTGAGGTGACTGAGGTGGCAGAATTCATCCAAAACTCCGCGATGATTGGTAGAATCCCCTGAAGCTGGCAGGATTAAACTGGAGCCGGCAAAATCGCTAAAAGAGGAATGTGGGCCGACGGCAGAATAATAGGTGGGCCCAGCAGCACTATAGAGGCGGCAGAATCATCAAATCTGTGGGTTTGCAGATTGTGAGCACAGATCACTGATGGAGGTGGGAGAACTGATTTCAACGCACTTCTTGTCAGCAGGGATATGCAGTAGTCGGACACGCAAGATGATGGCAGTGACGGCGCCGAATAGTTCCTCACATACGCGTTACAAACGATTATTTTTTCCGTGATTCTCTTCGGCTTCCAAGGGGTCAGTTCTTAGTGGATAGTTTATGGCCATGGATTCCATTCGCTGTAAGAGTTGAGTGCTATCGTAATGCTAAGATTTGGTTTTCATGAATGGCGCAGGCGAGCTTCTGATTGAACAAGTCGTTCAAGTACCGTCTAATTACTCTATTGTGTATCAACCAATGGACCCATTCTCAGATAAGCCCTTGTCTCATTCGTCTTTGGCGTGCTTTGTTCTCGCGTCTTTGCGCGACCTGGGCTGTAGTTCTTAGTGAAACCCCATGCTTAACCCGCACATGATTCCGGAAAGCATCTAGCGATTCCATTTTCTGGAAGCGTGGGTCATCCCGGCACTGAGGATGGTTGCATCGGATAACCCCGCCGTTTGTCACGGTGCGCTCTCGTTCCTCAAGGTGCTGGTCGTCGAAATGATCGTTTCTGACTGTTGTCCGGCAGTACTTGAAAGTCCGCTCTTCTAAAGGAAGCCGGTCATCTCCAGCGCAGACAGGACATTGTTTCTCATTTAAAACAAGGGGAACCGTTGGCGGCGGGTGGACATCTTCTGCAACAGACGGTTCCGCGCGAGCCCGTAGCTGGATACGATCCCGTTTGGCTGATTCTCTCTTGTCGCATAAGGCCACCATTAGGTCTATGGCCTCGGTTCTTCGCTGTAACACGTCGTCCTGCGTCCAATCGTCGGACTGATGGCACAAAATCTCGGCGAGACGCGCACGCTCGGGGATCCGTAGGTCGATTTTCGGCTCAACATACTCTTCTTGCTCTTCGCCACGAGCTTGTGCCTCGATGTCCCATGTAGGACGGTGGTAAAAATAGTACTCGCGATATTCCTTGACGATGTGTAAATCGCGTCGAGCTTCCATCATGCGGATTTGGTTGGTGAGCATCCGGATCTCAGCCTCTTCATCCTTACCTTGTATGCGGTATTGGCCGTCTTTGAGTTCTGCCCGGCGCCGCTCCATTTTGACAATGTCCGGGTCGGGTAGCAAGTCGTTCCAAACTTCCACAGGAACCATGTCTCTTGTGGCACGAGGGTCGCGTGTTAGGCTGACGTGCGCGAATAGTTTGTACATCTGGTTTTCAGCATCTTCCTCTAGAAAAGTATTCTGCAGGTCGAAGTTGACATTCTCATTGATATAGGCATTGTGGAAGGTTGCAAATTTAGGATCGTGGCGCATCATCTGATCACGCACGGCGTCGGGAGCATTTCCTGGAACGTACCCGTCAGTTCGGTTACCATAGATGATGTGTAGCTTGACCTACCGTTCGCCGCATTCGCTGCTCCTCTTCGTGCAAAGCGCGGAGTCCAACGCTTTTCAAAGCCAGCGTCGAGACTTTGCCGGCCCATATCATCCCGTAACTTAGAGTATGGCATGGCCTCGTCCGCCGCCAGCTGTGTGCCATCAATGCGTCGAAAGACAGGAGTCTTAAGCATAGATGCCTTCCAACGTAGTGGGGTACACTGGGTAGGGCCTCGTATCTGGGCTCGTAGTACCTGGGATGCGGATGTCAAACTCGCGGCGTCGAAGGCGTGGTCGTGAAGAGCCAGAGCAATGATGGTGCTGACCGCACAGAAGATGAGCTTCTTGGTCGGAGTGAAATAGAAAATAGTGCTGTAGCTTGTCAGCCCTCTGCATGCGCACGACAGGTCGTCAACATACGGTCTCGGTTTGTTGTCTGCTCCCTTGTGATGAATGAACTTAATCGCCATTGCTGGCGTGGGTGCACCTGTCACAGGGTGCCGAACGATCATGAGGAGGATATCCTCGTAGCACAAAGCCTTTGGGCGACCGCGACCAACAGTCTCCTGGAGTAGAAGCCCGTTGAGCAGCAGCGAGTCCTTATCCTTAGCTTCCTCCTCATCGTCACCCTCGACACTCTTCGGGCTGTTGTGGTGCCTAGCATTCGTCGATCCGAGGCCTCGGTTCTTGAAGAGTTCATCTACG